AATAAGGGGCTACCTTGCCAGAGCCTGAATTTGGCAAGGCAAGAGCCCGTGCCCCCCCTTCGGTGGCAGAACTTCCCAAGCAAGTTGGGGATGGAAACGGGCTCTGGGGAAGGGAGGGGGCTGGGTCAGCCATTGGAGGGGAGGGGAGGGGAGGAGGGGGCCGGGGGGGGGCTCTGATTGCCACCTGCCCAGCCCTGCACCTGTGGGAGGAAAGCGGGGGGGGGGCATGGGCGGGACGGAGCTGCATTCCTCCGGCAGCCGGATCTTCCAGTTCTGGCCAGGAGCCCCCAAACCTGTTCAGGCTTGTCTGGCCTCAGCCTGGAGCTGCTGCTGCTGTGAAGGGGCCCGAGAGGCGCCCCCCCCCCTCGGAAGCCCAGAAGGGGCGGGCTGCCCTCTGCCTAAGCTCCGGCCAGGTCAGTCCTCCTCCTCTGACCCGGGCTTGACCCGGGAGGGAAGGGAGGGGGCTGCATTTTGGGTGCCTGCCTGCCTGCTTGACGGGGCGGGGCTGCAGAGCCCCCGGGGAGAACTGGCACCGCGGGCTGCGGGCACGCCCGGCTGGCGGCCCCGCACAAGCGGGCCAGTCGTCCGAGGTGCGGGAGTCTCCGCAGGGGAACGGCGTCGAGGGTCGGCCGCGGAACCGTCCCGGGGCTGCAGTGCCCCCCCACCCCCTCGTCTTCTGCACCTGGCGCAGGTGAGGCAGGAAACGCCTCTCGATGCTGGCCGGAGGGGGGGGCTTGGGGTCTTCACCCTGGCAGCCCCCCCCCCCCGACGCCGCCCTGCCCGTCGTGCAAACGGAACCGGGTTTCACAGGCCGCCGGCTCCACCCGCTTGTTCGGGGGGGGCGCGCCGCCCTCCGCCCCCGAGCTAAGCGCGCCCGGCCTCCCGCCCGTCCGCCCCGTCGAGGGAACCAGGTCTCACCTACAGGGCGCCGCCGTGGCCCCCATCACGTAGCCGCCGCCGCCGCCGCCCGGGGCCAGCCCCGCATGGCCGGCGGTCCCACGGAGGGCGTCGGGGGAGCCGGCCGTCCATCCGAAGGGCGCCGATTGCCCCGGCAGGCAAGCGGGGGAGAGTACGACGGGCTCCCGGCCGCCGGCCCGGCTCTTCCGCCTCGGCCGGTACTTGTAGTCCGGGTAGTCGAGCATGTGGCGCGCCCGGAGCCGCTTGGCCTCGTCGATGAAGGGCCGCTTCTGGGCGGCGTCGAGGCGCTTCCAGGCGGCGCCCAGCCGCTTGGAGATCTCCGAGTTGTGCAGGCGGGGCTGCTCCTGCGCGATCCGCCGCCGCTGCGCGCACGACCAGACCATGAAGGCGTTCATGGGCCGCTTCACCTTCTCCGGCTGGGCCGTCGAGGGCGGCGGAGGCGGCGGTGGGGCCGGTTGCGGGGCCGGGGCCGGCTGGATCGGGCCCGCCGCCCAGCCTCTGGCGGGCGCCTCCGGGTTGTAGAAGCCCCCGAACATCCTCCCGCCAGTCGGGGACAGGCCCGACTAGAGAGCCTCGAGGGGTGCCTCGGCCGGAGCAGCCGGCAGCAAAGGAGCACGTGCGGCCGGTCGGCCCTGCCTGGGATATAAGGGCACCAGGCCACGCCCCTCCGGGCCCCGCCCCGCCCCCTTGCCTCGCCCTGCCTTCTGCCGTCCGGTGAAAAGGGCGCCCGCGGGCGCAGAGCTACACACACACACACACACACACAAACAAACAACCGTCCTCCTCTCGGGCTCCCCCGCGGTCCTCCTCCCGAGCCGAGCCCTCCAGAGAGTGACCCGTGTTTGCGCAAAGTGTGTTTGCGCAAAGCGTGTTTGCGCAAAGCGGTGGGTTTCTGAGCATAAGCAGAGTGCCGGCACGGCTTTCCGAGAGCGCGTGAGAAGGGCCGGTGCATCGGCGCCCGGTCAGCCGCGGCCCTCGCCTGCTCTGCTGTGGGCCGCGCCGGCGACCCTCAAAAGCGGGCACCCCCTCTTCTCTGCCCTGGTAGCCTTTACACCCCTCCCCACCCCGGCTGTTGCGTGCAGGATGATGGGCGTTGTAGTGAAGCTCATCAAGAGGAGGCTTGAGAACCTCAGTGCCTGCAAGGGGGGGGCACAGCCCTTCTCCTTTGAGGGGCCCCTGTTAGCCAGGACCCCCCGAGGACCCCCCCAGCTCAGCCTCTGCCTCCCACCTGCCTCGCCAGTGCATCAGCCCCACAAGCAGTGGAGGAGCAGGATCCCTCCCCCACCCAAAGCCCCCAGCTTTGGGGCTTCCCCAGGATTCCCCCCCCTTTTTTTCTGGCTGCCAAGCAGTGTTACATATTTTCCCCTTGGGGGCAATCTGGGGGGGCAGCGTGAGAACCCCTTATTTTCCTGGAGGGGGGGCGGGAGAAGGTATACCTGTGATCAGACTTTCCTCTGCCCAGCTCAGTGGTGGCTGAGGGGGAGGGGAGTGGGGGTGCACCCTGAATGGACTAGAGAGGCCCCCCCCGCACCCCGCAGTTGCTTTGGCTGATAGTTGGGGGGCTGGCTCTGCTTTGGTGGTCCCAGCACAGACCCCCCCCCCTTCCACTGCTTTGGCCTCAGGGTGTGGATGTGGGGGGGGGAAAGGAGGCTGTGAAGAGTTTAGCAAAAGGGGGGGGCAGGGAAAAGGTGGCTCCTGGGTCAGCTTCCTCCCCCAGCTTTTACCTTCTGTGTCCCCCCCCCTCCCTGGGGGGTCAATGGAGATTAATTGCCTTTCCGGGCCATTCCTGAAGACAAAGAGAAAGATTTTGCCCTGAAGGAGGGATGTTTTCACCTGCTGAATTGCAGCTGGGGCAAAAGGGGCAGAGACCCCCCCCAAAAAAAAATCCCTGGGAGGCATGGAGAAGAGGAAAAGTGGGGGGCAGGATCCCCTCTAGCGGAGGGAAAGCTGTCCGGGTTCTCCCCCTTAAAATTGAAACAATAGGATTACTGTAAGATTTAGCTGCAGGAACCTGTTGGATTTCGGCCTGTGGCTGCTTTCTA